TATTCTACCGACTTCAGTATCCTTGCAGTCAATTGCTAAATAACTGAATTTTTTAATAAATTGGGTAATCTTGTTTTTTCATATTTTGATGTTGAAATTTTTGGATCTATTGGGCATGTATCTCTTCCTTTTGGTGGTGTCTTCGGACATCAGTGCTTTGATATGTTGAATGTATTTCCAGTTATAACCCAGACTCTGCCTGGGTTAGCTGGACTCACTTCAGTGGATTTCACCAGGGCCACACTGGGCTATAAGGTGGATGCTGGCCAAGATAGCATGGCACTACTTATTACAAGTTCCTGAATAAAGGGGAACATGCGGACTTCTGTTCCCCCAAAGCAGTATGCTTGGGCACAACCTTCTCATGACAGTTCCCTGTTACAGAACCTTACTTCTCAAGTACCAAACACCATGCAGGTTGCAGATCAGCTGAGGCCAGACGGTCTTCCTGCATCTGTTTCTGTACCCGCTGTGTCCCACCACGTCCCTCCCACTCTCCCTTTCTGTTCCCTTACTTCTCACTTCACCGCACTCTGGGCTACCGTGACCTTAGTACTGATGTGCTTGTTGTTACCTTCCATTCTGACAAGCAGTCTCTGAGTCTCCGAGCTTCAGCTAGCCAGCGTTAAACTTGAGTGTGTTTCTCCAGTCATCTGTCCTGCTAGGAAGCTGTTTTCTGGCTGTGTCACCTCCAAGGTGCTGAAGAACTGTGAGAGTCTAATCCTCCAGCCTGGCTCTTGGCATTGGCTTTGGGATCAGGTTTAGAAATTTGCATATCAACTGGCCACTGACTTTAGACAGGTTTAATCACTCTCACTTTAATCAATGTCTGAAAGTGGAAAGTCCTTGAAAGATCAGGTAATCCTACATTGTCTTCATTTGTATTCAAATTTGAGACTTGGCCTCACTTTATAACCCCAGCTAGTCCTAAACTGTCAACCCTCTTATCCTGTCTCCCAAGTGATACAATTGCAGGTCTTCTGTACCACAACAGCAGGCCCTTGTAGTTTTATTTAAACTATTTCAGAGCACAGTAATAACAAAACTTCCAAATCCATCACATAAAGCTGGAATCATGGAAGTTCCTAAATCTAAAAACATGTTACATCAGCTTCATTTATGAGCATAAGTATAAAATTGTAGATGAATCAATGAAAAAGAAAATTATAGCAGACAAGATCCAAGATCACATTTTTAAAGTATATCATGAGTTAGAAAAGCTTACTCGAGAAATGCAGAGATAGTAGAGTATAATAAAACCTACTTTATAAGAAATCCTATTAATACAGCTAAAGGAAAAAAAATCACATAATCATCTCCATAAATGTGGAAATGGTACTTGATAAAATTCAAGACATATGTATTTTATTTTTCATTCAACAAATATGTATTGAGCATCTGCTCTATTACGGTACTGAGGCCAGAAGAATGAAAAAGACGCTGGCACCATTCCAGCCCTCCTGCCAGCAGAGGAGACAGTCAGTAAATAGCCAAGCAAGGGGACAGGCCATTTTACCTAGAGCATCATTTATGTGAAACTCAATGAAATGTGTATTGATCGCATTAGTGTAGTTAACATACCTCAGGCCAGAAGATCACATTTCACTGAATAGAGAAATGCTAAAGGTTCTCTGTTTAAAGTCAGAAATTAGATAAAAATGCTCACTCTGTACCCCTTTTTTTGAGAGGGGGACAGGGTCACGTGTTGTGACCCAGTGTGGCCTTGAACTCATTATATAGCCCAGGCTGGTCTCAAATTTGTGGCAATCCTCTTGTTTCAATATTCCAAGTGCTAGGATTGCAGGTATGTGCCACCGTGCCGAGCTTGCAACATTTAATACCGACTTAAGGAGTTAGTTAAAATGGTAACACAAGAGAAGAGAAACTAAAAGTATAAGATTTGAAAAATGGAGATAAGGTTATGGCTATTTGCAGATTACTGGATGATGAATTGTAGTTTCATTAATATGAAACACAGCATCTCACACAATCTATAAACAGACATCCTCCCACAAAAATATCAGTGAGGGAACTACCACAAAGCAGAAGACATTCAGTCAAATGGCAGGTAACAAAATCAATATATACTCAGTTGCTGGGCCAGCAAGATGGCTCACTGGGTAAAGGCACTTGTTGCTAGCCTGGTGCCCGAGTTTGATCTCTGGGACTCACATGGTGGAAAGAATGGACTGTCTCTCCATAGTTACCCTTTGACCTCCACATGTGTGCTGTGGGACACACACACATCCCACAAAATAAATTTTGAAGTAAGTTGCCATCATGTGTATGAACAAGAACCAGTTAGAAGATGTAATGGAGAAGATTCTATCAATGGTGACATGATATAAAATAAATTTAAAACATACACATGAAAAGAAAGATTTTTAAAAATCTGTGTGTGTATGTGTGTCGGTATATGAGTACAGGCACATGCATGCCATGACACGTGAGGTTAGAGGACAGCATTCAGTGTTGGTCCTCACTGTTTGAGACCAGAGCTCTTGTTTGCTGCTGGATATGCCAGGCTAGCTGGCACAGAAGCTTCCAGGGCTTGCACTGTCTTCACCTCTCATGTCAACATAGGAGCACTAGGATTTAAAGGCACATGCTATCATGCCCAACTGACATGGATTCTGGGGATTTAAACTCAGGTCCCTGTGATTTCATGGCAAGTGCTTTACCCCAGAGCCATCTCCCCAGCCCTAAATACTGGGGAAAGAAGCAAAAGTATATGTGAAATTACTAGAAATGCCATGTTATCTGAAAAGATGCAACATTATGTAGAGATCAGCTTTCCTTAGTGTATAAACTTTATGCAACCATAATAACCATTTTGTAAGGATTTTCCTGGTAGTGTTAAAGCTGGTTATGACTACTGCTTGATCCAGCATGCCACATGAAGTTGTTTATAGGGGTGGAGTTTCCCAGCCCTCGCATAGGTTGCTGGAGAGCTGTTTGGGAGAAGCTGGGTTTGGGCTTACCTGTATTACATCGCCTTTACAGTCATCATGCCCTCTTCCCTGAACTGTGACCTGGAGAGTTCTCCTTCCCCTGAACGACCCAGCATTCAGGAAGCTCATTTATCTACTCAGGTTGTATCAGTTGACCCACCATTGTTGATTGCCATAATCCTATTGTTTTATCCACCTTTTGTTACATGGGTCACTCATTGGTCTCCACTGAGGCTTTTCACTCATTAATGAAGTGGCAGTCAAAGATTGTCATGTGAATAGTATTCCGGGTTCATTTCTGTTGCTGTAATGAAACGCATTCCTAAAGCAAGGCATGGGAGGACAGGGCTTATCAGGCTTACAGACTACAGTCTATCAGTGACCGGAAATCGAGGCAGGAACTGAAGCAGCTGGCCACATCACACCAACCAAGAACAGAGAATAAACGCATCCTTGTTTCCTGCTTATGCTCAGCTACTTTTCATCACTCTTACATAGTTCAGGCCCCCTTCCTAAGGAATGGCACTGGCCACAGTGGGCTGGGCCCTGCTAACTTATTTAACCGTCAAGACAATTCCCCACAGACATGTCTGAAGGCCAATCTGATCTACATAATCCTTCAACTGAGACTCTGTTCCCAAGTGATTCTAGGATGTGGCAAGTTGACATTTAAAACCATCACAACTTGGAAAAGCTTTTCAGTGCTTCCTGTTTTATCTCTAATTTTGGTTCCCTCTCTTGACTACAGGAAGACACCAGACGAGAATGCCAAGTGATGCGGGAAAGACAGGGCTGTTTGCTTACAATGCAGTATTGCTAGATGAGCTCGGTGGCAATGCTTTTACTTCAGTTGATGGCATAGACTCTAGCTCACTCTCAACTTACATATTTTTAATCTTACACTGATCACTTATGATGAATTGTAGATTCCTTCCATCACTTATGAAACCACAGTGTGTGTTTCCAGTCTTTTCTCCCTGGGACTTCCTCCTCTTCCAGAGTATACCCTATGCTCGCCTAGCACTCTGGCCTCTGTTCTGTTGACCTCTCTTCTGGTACACACCCCTATCTCTGTTTGAAAACTTCCCCGTTATTCAGTGTTGTGCTCAAAGATTCTCTTAAAAAACAATTTCCTTGTTTCCAGCTGCATATGAGATGCTGGCATTTATCAAGGCAAATCACCCTTTGATTTCTCAGTAATGTGTTTTCTTCTGTTCCTCCTTGTTCAACCGAATATTAATGCAGAGATTCCTTTGTACCTGGGTAGTTTCTGAAATCATTTGCTTCTTGCAATGCACATAGCTGGCATCAAAAAGATTCTTGGGATAGGATTAGGAAAACCACAGGGCTTAATTTAGTCCTGTGACCTGGACTGGTTCTCCAAATTATCCATAAGATCCCAGCCTTTGGAAACTATGAGTTGGAGAGAATCAGCCGCCACATGCAGTTTTCTGGAGGTCATATAAGTGCCTAGAGACCAGGTAGGTAGGTGGTGGGAGAATGCCCTGGAACACTGTATTCTGTAACCTTGAAACTGTCTCAAATTACACATAAGACCCTGAAAATGAACTGCTTTAAAAAAACTGCATGATTAACAATATATTTTGAATTAAAAAATTTTTAATTTTAATTATGTGTATGGGTATATGCATATGACTGCAGGTACACAAAGAGGCCAGAAGAGGGTGTCAGATGTTTTGGAGCTGGAGATACAGGCAGTTGTGAATTGCTCAGTATGGATGCTCAGAACTGAACTTGGGTCCTCTGCAAGAACAGTACGCACACTCAGCTCTCCAGCCCCAACAATGTACTTTTTTACCTAAGTCCCTGAGACAATATTGTTTACATTTGCACATTTTCAAGTGTGTGTATGTGTACAGGTGCATATGTGTGTTCTGTATGAGATTAGAAGATCCAACATTGTTGACTATCTTGCTTCTACTACTTGATTCACCTTTCTATGAAAGTACAACTAACAAGACATGAGGTAGAGGTGTTTATCTGTACCTATGAATTATTCTTCATAAGCACTTCTTTCTTCTCTTCCAGGAATCCGGAAGCTTTGCAGTCACAAGAAGAGAAGGTAGGACAATCACTTACATCCATTTCATTCTCTTTCATACACTTTGGAAGTAGTTTGGTTGAAACTCAGATCAGCTTCAGACTGTGGACAGCCTGTGCTTTGAAATGCCATGTGGTCTTTCCTGTGTGCTGGCTGCTTGGCTGTTGGCCCAAGAGACCCAAGAACTGAAGGCCAGGTTTGCTTTGGAGAACTGGGGTTTCCACCTTCATGATTCAGAGATGGGCTCCTAAGAACGGGCTCACTCATGACCACATCCGTGGTCTCTCAAGAAGACCCTCATTTCTGAATGAAGTGTGAAGTCATTATTTGGTTTCGCCCAGCAAAAACATCAATAATAGCAAAAATGGTTTACAGTTTGAGGAATTTCACTGTTGGGCAGGCGATGCCACTGTGAAAAATGCTTCTGATTAGATTTTTACAGCTTCAGCTAAGCCGGAATAGAAATAACCAATTAATTTTCCCTTTGGAAACAATTCCATGATGTTCTGTTTTGCCTGCCAGCCGTGCTCTGGTACATTTGTTTTCTGGTCTCAGAGGTAAGCATGTATGGATGGTAATTTCAGAAATCTTCCAGTGGAAATTGAAATTTCTCTTATTTACTTTCTGTAATAGCTAGACTCTAATAAGAAGATGTCTTCTGTGTGATTTGTGGAATCATTAATGATCATTTCCTTATTGTGGGGATAGGAGTATAAAGTCAGAAACCATGGTGTATTCTTGGTCTAGTATGTAGGCTTCTGTTTTAACCTTAGCCTCATCGTCTTTGATACTGTCTTCTAAAAAGCATGATGATGGGGTAGAAAAATACTCTCGACTCCTAAATTGAACACATCCTTGCTTCCTGGTTAGTTTTGGTATGTCATGCAACACACCAGAAGCTGGGATAGCACTTTTATCACTAGAGTGCCCGTTGCTGCTGTCCGTGGTGCTGAAACCTTGGACTCCCAGTGATCTTATTCTAATACGAACTTTCTGGCTTCCGAGCTCAATGTCCTCTGCGCTGTATCCATAGGGCAAACCGCATTGTTTGGATAGCAACACCAAATTAAACTGGATGAAGGTAAATGGGGACAGGGAAGGGAGTTGTTTCTTAAACTGTATTCCCAGTGGGCACAGTGCTGTGTTTATGTTGGAGAGAAAATGGCTGTAATGGAGAAGTTGACATGAACTTTGGCTCTGAAGAACATGTTGTTCATGCCATTAATCCTGAGTGAGAATATTTGGAACTGGTTTTCATGGAAGAATCATATATAAACTTAACCTTTTTGAGATCTTACTGTCCTTGGTTGAAAATGTCTCTGATAAGGCTGGGGTTATAGGACAGTTCTGTGTGTATCTGTCCAAAGCCATAAAAAGTTCTGACCTTAGATTGCAGGGATTTGAATTCCCAGAAGGTCAGAGACACGGGAAGGCTGTGTTTTTAGTCATAGTCCCCCATTCTCTGGAAGCACCAGCTTCTACAATGACCGGGGCACATTCTTCAGGTTGGTATTAACAAATTTGTCCTGACATCACAAACTTTGTTTCTTCCTATTGTGAAATCATGCCTTTCTTGCTCGTTTCTGTCAGAGTTGAGTGCTTAAGAGTTTCTGAGTATTTAAGAGTTCCTGAAATATCTGAATGGCAATGTTTGTCACCTAGCAGGAAGGAAGGGTGGGATCTTGAAGGTTGATTGCAAAGTTTTTGTATCACAGTATTCAGTACCGTGAGTTTTGGGGGTTGTTATTCTCAAGAACAATGAATAAAAAATAATAGGGTGCTATGACATTTCATTGAATTATTCTTGTAAACAAAAATAGGTCATTGTTGTCTAGCAACATACATGTTGGGCCGAGTTCTGGCTCTGACTTGATCTGGAACAAAAGGAGGAGCAGGTAGGTCATGCCCAGTTCACCAGGCTCAGGAGTGTCTAGAGAGTTCTGGAGAGAATAGGATATAGAAAGGCCCACAGAACCCAAGAGGATTTTCGATGTAGCTGTGTTTTGTTTCATTTCTACACTTAACTTGGGGGCATCACCTCCACCCAGGGCTCAGTGTCACAACGCATGACCCTTTGCAAATCCCCTTTTGAACTATATCTTTTGGAAACACTTAACTAAGTCTGTGTGGTGAGATGTGAGAGGCGCTGGTGTTACCTTGGAAATGGAGTCCAGGCTGAATCACAGCGGGGGTTGGGACCACAGAGGTGACTGCTTGTTACTTTATACACAGTGTTCTTGCAGTCAGCCTGCCTTGTCCTTCATCCCAAGTCACCTCTTCCTCATGCCTTCTAACAAGAAGTGTTTAGCTTACACTACTAATTTATCCTAGCAGGTTATTCACTGCCTAAAAGCAGAAACCCTCTGCATTCTTCCCCATGTTCCTCACAGCCCTAGCCCTGAACCAGTAATTTGTTCAGTAATTGTTTCTTAAATTGAGGGCAGGCAGCCCATTTTCTTTGTCTGTGCTCTTTTCACTTAGCTCCTGTCTTACTGATAGACTGGTGAGGCCTTGAGAACTTTGATTCTCAGAAAAAATTATTTTTGAGCTGGGAGATGGCTCAGTGGGTAAAATCACTGACAACCTGAGTTTGATCCGCAGAACCTATGAAAGAGCCTAGATGTGGTGGTATGTATCTGTAAACCCAACATTCTACAGTGAGATGGGAGGCAGAAACAGGAGAATCACCTGGAAACTTGCAGGCCAAATAGCCTGGAGTATGCAGTACATCATAAACAAGAGAGACTTTGCCTCAAGACAGTGAATGGCAAGAAGAAGCTCCTAGATGTTGTCCTCTGACCTCCAGCTGCATGCTGTAGTACCAGCACATGCACATGCGTGCATACACACAACTTTTTAAGTTTAATTAATTTTTTTGAGACAGGGTCTCCCTGTAGCTCCAGCTGGCCTGGAACTTGCTATATAGACCAGGCTAGGCTTGAACTCATAAAGGTCTATCTACCTGCCTCCTGCCTCCTGAGTGCTGGGATTAAAGAAGTGTGCCACCACGCCCAGTCACAACTTTTTTAAAAGATACTTTCAAAGAAATGCTCTGTCACTGTTTTTTCCCTTTTTAAAGACCATTGGGGTTCTTTGGAATGCAATGCCATATCTGTCAACACTGTATTCAGATATATTCTAATAAAAAAATGTGTTCTGTGGACATTCTTGGCTGACATATTGATGAGAGTTCTTCAGATTCACAGAAGCCTGGTGTCATACTGTTCCTCAAAAGGGTATGTTAGAAGCCAGGCATGGTGGCATTTTGAGACGGTCTCAAAACAAACCAACAAACCTGGTATGTTGAAATCCTAACCTGGAACTTGTAAGTGTGACCTTGTTTAATAAAGTCTCCGCAGACAGCAGATGAACTAAGTGAAGATGAGGTCAGACTGGTTCAGGGTCAGTTCTAATCCAATGAATGGTGGTGTCCTATAAAGAGGGAACTTGAGATAGATGCACAGGAAGATGCCATGTGAGGGAGGAGGCATGGGATTGCTAGGAACCACTGACCAGAAAGAGGCGAGGAAGGATTGTCCCCTAGAACCTTCAGAGAGGGAGACAGAATGACGATGTCAACCCCTCCTTTGATGTTGGACTTCAAGTTTTCAGACTTGTGAGAATTAATTCCTTCTTTTGAAGTCTTGTAGTTTGTGGTGGTACTTTAACACAGCAGCCCTAGGACACTAAAAGGCGTGGAAAGTTGCTGGACTCAGTAAACTTGAGTGAGTTTGTCTGACTGCTGTTGGAGTTCTTCTGAGTGCAGAATCGCTTAGGCTTTTCCTGTTAAATCTGACTCTCCTCAGGGAAGACGCTAGGCAACATCCTGGGGGATGAAACCACTTTACCTCTGCTGTCTTTGATGCCCAGGGATGCCTTTGCTCTCAGTGCCTGTGCAAGGCCTGCTCTAGAGAATCCAGGCAAGTGATGGCTTCCTCAGCAGCCAGACACCAGGAACCGTCTTCCGGGAACTGTGCTGCCCAGAATGGTGAGGTGACAGTGATGCAGACCTCCCCACGGGGAAGTTTTCAGAATGTTCTCCTGTTAATCTCCCTTGACCTGACCTTCAGTACCTCACGACATAAGCAAAGCAGACAGCACCTTGCTCTACCTTTCCATGGTAATTGTCAATGGAGACAAGGACTTCTCCACGACCCCCTCCCACACACACAGTGTTGCTGTCCCTCTGATGCACCAAACTCTGGGATGGGGGATGATTGTTTAAATCGCCTGATCTTGCTTCATCCCAATCAAGGGCTGTTGCACAAAACTGGCTGCCAAGCTGACGTAGATGTGAGGAACTTACAAAGGAAAGTTCCTGGGATTTCATACTCAAGTTAGGCTTTTGGTAATGACTCTGGGAACTGCAAGGAAGACACAGTAGCAGAGAGTAGGGCAGGACAAGACCCATAAAGTGTCTCCTGGCAGGGGCATGTGTCCTTAGGGAGACGAAGCTGTTGCTTCCTGAGGAAAGCCCTGTACCGACCTTGAGCCTCATGTCGGTGCCGTGCAGGGAAGCGGCAGTGGCTGCATCTTGTCTGCCTTCCAGTTTCCACCTCTCTCCAGACACACAAAAAGATTGGGTATGTATGTATGTTGGCGGTGTGTGTGTGGTATGTGTGTGTGTGTGATGTATGTGGTATGTGTGTCTGGTGTATGTGTATCGTTTGTGTGATAGTTTATAGCTATGTGTGCTTAGTGTGTGTGTGGTGTGTGTGGTGTGTGTAGTATGTATGTGTGTTGAGTGTGTGATGTATATGGTATGTGTGTGATATGTTTGTGGTATATGTGTGCATGTAGTATATGTCGGTGTGTGTGGTATGTATGTATGTGTAGTGTGTATATGTAGCATGGTGTGTGTATGTGGTATGTGTATTTATATGTGTGGTATGTGCGAATTTAGTGTATGTGTGATACATGTGTGTGGTATTTATGTGGTATGTGTATGTGGTGTGTGTTGGTATATATGTAGTGTTTGGTGTGTGTACAAGTTTGTGTGTATATGTGTGTTTGTATGTGGT